AAAATAATTATAAAAAAAACTGAAAAATAAGTTTGCATAACAAATATATAAAAAAAAAACCTGTAACCGGTTACGCGTGCCACCAAAATTTCATATGCTCCTGTGACCGGTTACATGCTTCTGTAACCAGTTATGCCACCCTCCCATTACATGTGCTTCATACCTCCTGTAACCGGTTACGATTCTCCTGTAACCGGTTACGCCACCCTTGTGTTGCGTATCAAGTGGAGGACACACACGACTTTTCATCAACAATCCACGCAAATCTCTTCAATTTTGCAAGTGATGAAAACGGAGTGCGTCCCGCAAATCCGTCCTCGATGATCCGTTCATTTCATTCAAAGAAACAACCATGCATTGATAAATTGTCGCTCTCAAATTCGCATGAACAGTTTAATCTGTTCATGCGAACAAAGGCTAAAACTTGGTAATATCCAACTACGTTCCCAATAGACAATAAAATCTCATTTATATTGGATAAATATTATTTTGGATAAATATTATATTGGATTCGATCTTTTAGAGTAGACTAAACATTGTATTGAGGTGTTTTAAATTTTTTCTAATACTTGTTGATAAGACTACTACATCTAGACGTCTAACTCTAAATATTTGTCGAAAAGACTAACATGTTTTTAGTTTAATAGTTAATTTAGCGTTGAGCACTGGCACGGTGGAGATTAATGTGATTTGGAAGTTAAAAGTAGAAGGTATTGTATGCTGGGTAAAGGGTTACAAGAGAGGGACCCTTCATCACTACTTGTTTGGATTATTCTTATACAACATCATTTCTCACACACCCTACAATTATTGGACTTCTCTCAACTCCATACCCAAACATTTCCCACTTCATGTTTCCTTAATCACCTCAACTATCATTCTTCTACACCCTAATTCATTTTCATCACTCAAATCTAATTCATTTGTTTTTTCTTTCTTTCTTTTAATCTCTAATCAATTTCAGGAAATAAAAAGTAGTATGTTAAAACAAAAATAAAATGTTTCTATGTGCGTATCATTTATAACAAAAAAAAATTCCTAAAATAATTACCGTGTAACTTCAATTTTTTTCTCGGCGCTAACCACACATTCAACAACAAACGAATCATAGAGAAGACACACAACTAATGGTTTAAATAAGTTTTAATTTAAAAAAAAAAATTAAAAATCTAGGTATACGATGTTTTCAAAATTTATTTTTTCCACCTAAAACAGGACCTACTCCACTATGATTAAATAGATTAACCTTAATGCTAATTAAATGGTAAAATATAATTAGTTGCGATTGGATAATGATTAGACTAATTTTAATTAAAAATTCATCCCAATATGTATAAATAGATATTTCAAGTAACGAAGTAAATGATTTAAATTTACTATACGATTAATTGTTAATGGTGAATGTTAAATTGACTTTAATATTGGAATTCTTTCTGTAGATGCATTACACAGATAGCCCAAATAGGTGACGAAATTGTAAAGATCAGCACAGGAACATTAGACAGATAAAAACATTACATTGAAAATCCATTCCAACACAACACATATTTACGTATGTCAGTATTTATAATACGGCACAGATAACCCAGGCTTGTCCAAACGACCAGAAGCAGGGTAAGCCTTGTTAGTGAAGTTTGCGTGTGATGATGATGCTACCCTTTGAGTGGCCAACTTTGAGTCACCAAATTGAAATCCATTATCATGAAGCGAGTAGCTGTTAGAAGATGAACTTGACCTCTGGTATTGGGTGGGCCTCTGCTTTGGAGCACTCACAGATCTTACCTTTGCCATCGATGATTCAGTGTATGCCATGTAACTCGGATAATCAGGTTCAGAACAACCACTCAGATGGCTCTTGGTAGGAGTAAAAGGGCTTCTTTTGGAGCCACCATTTTTAGAAGAAGAGGACAAAGTACGAGGACTATTGTCAGCACCACACGATGAGTTGTCCTCAACCTCGTTCCATTTTCGAGGGCTGTAAGACTGAACTTCACTAACCAAACCATGGCTTCTACCCTTTGATGGCACGTGTGCTTTTACAGAATCATTTTCTAGAATCCTGACACATCCTTCTTCGTCCAGGCTACAAGCTCTTGACCACCATCTTCGTTCATGCCATGATCTGTCTTCGTTAACATTGATATGCATGCGGGACTTTGAGCTGTTTCTCTACAATCATAGGAATGTTTGTTTTCATAAGTTGACAAGCTAAATAATTTAATCATGAACAGCAGCGGTAAAAACCTTGAGTAATGAAGGTGAGTGATCATATTTCATGCTCTCGGAGCTGATGGGGCTTTCAGATTTGTCTGGTGAACCCTGTCAATGGAAGACATTCTAGGGTAACGTATTGCCATTGCCACAACATCATTAATTTGATTGAAAAACTTAGAATGTCATATGGTTCATTATCCAATGAATATGTTCGTAACAAATTTAAAGGCATTGAAACTATAACAAAGAAAGAGAGGATTGAAAACGGTTACATGTAGGTGGGCAGTGGATGAGTTTGCATTCAAATAAGGGGAATGAAAAGTTTGGGCCCGCCCAACACGGAACTGGGCCTGGGCCTGGGCCTGGGCCTGGATGCGTAAGAGTGTTTGTACTCTTTGCAGCCATTCTGACGTTCGCTTTCTTTCTATCTCACCTCTCACTAATGCCTGTAGCTTCACCAATCCTTTTAACGCTCTAAGGGCTTTCCTTGCCTACAAATTTCATCATCACCAGTTGTTCATAAAAGTTATTCACTCCCAAAACACAAAACAAATAAAACAAAAGGTAAAAGCACGTAAAAAAAAACCGAAATACTCCATCTTTTCCTTTCCTATTAAAGAAACTTTTTCGAGAATTTATTATAGTTTCATAGGATTCTTATGACTGTTTTTTTTTTCTTTTTTTTCTGAAAATTACTCGGTGTGTTTTCACTAAAAAATAATAAATATTTAAAATGAATGACAATTTTCTCATGAGAAGTAAAAAGAATTACTCGTACCAATCAATTTTATTATACACTTTAAGTTGCTCTGCGTGTGTGAAGAGAGTGAAAAGCAAGATCACATTTAATGGTGAAAAGGGCAACACAGAGGGAAAAGAGGGAGACGCTGACGCTGACGCTGACGAACCTCGATAAGCGTTAGTAGCTGTCACCCGAACAGATTAATCAGTCTTAATTAATGTTTATTCAGAGCAAGAAATTGCGTTTTTGAAGCAAACAATTTTTCAGCAGAACCACAACAAAAGACACCGTCTCGCAGATAAGCCAAATCTGCAAACATAGGACGACACTCATCTTCCAGGATCTTTCATATTTTTTCCTTATTAAACTCAAACCTTTTTTCACCAACACGACTTAAACATAAGGACAAACAAAAAAGAAAACTTATTTAACTTGTTTGAAAAATGATAAAACACTTTACTTTACGTTGAAGACTCTCTTGGATAATAGAAGTTAACCATAAACGCTGATTATGTTAAAACATCCTCATTCAAGAAGATACTCGCACCCGAATGTACATAAATATTTTCCTTAATGGTATACAGAGGAAAAGAACAATAATTAGAAGAAGAGGAGAATAATATAATATAATGAATGATCATACGAACCAAAGAGCCTCGAAACGCGGCTTGAATCTTAACGGCTGCCCATTCTTCTCGAGTAACGCCTCCGAGGACGGTGACGGCGGTGAGTGCTGGAAGGTTGGGATCAGCGCTTTCCGCGTGTACCGAGGAGTGGTCGACGGTGGAATGGTCCTTTTCTCTGTAGGATTTGACGAAGCTCCACCGTCGTTTGTCCTTGGGCGGTTTGGGAGCGGTGGCGGACGGCGAGTCTGGTCTTTTGAGAGCAAGAATGGCGCGAAACCATTTGGATGCCTTACCCATTAACTGGGTCTAATAGAGAAAAGGATTAACGTAATGGTTTGGGTTTTGAAGATGCGTTTGTGAAAGAAAGAGAGAGTGAAGAAATCAGACAGTAACATAGTAAGAACTCGTTCGGAGCGAACTAACATAATGCGTGTGCATTAAATCCTTTTATTTTTCTTTCTTTCTTTCACTCACCTTTATATAATGATTTCCGTAGACAACAAATCTATTACACACACGTGTATTCAGCCAGCGAGAAAAAGCATATAAAATTAAGGACTAGGAAATATGGCAAGAAAAAGCAATGAAAAATGTGTTTATCCCTTTGATCATTCACTTTAATAATATAATAATTTATATTAACATTTTAAGTTAAAAAATAAAATATATGATTAAAATATTGATATTTTAATTATCAAGTAGGTATTTTTTTATTGAACACGTAGTAATAAAGAACATATAACATTGGATGATATAAAAGTACTATAATTTAGCAGACCAAGTTATGTTAAGCACTTTTGAATTCCGTAGTGTTTATGTTTAACGTAAAAATTAGACGTTTTAAGAGAAGGAGTTCAAACACAGTGTTGTTACCTTTATATTACGTTGAATCCAACGTATTTCGAAATATGCAATATATTATTTTTGTAGGTCCTTCTCCACTATTTCACATTCAGTTTTAAATAGAAGAAATTGATGGGAAATATTTTATTATAATCTGTTTGGTTTGAAGAAAGTGGTTGTTGGAAATGTGGAGTCCAGAAGTGTGAATTGAAATGGTCAAATATGATTGTGAGCAAATGCAGATATGAAGGCTCTGTCTACCTTTTCGCTGTGAGGAGAAGCTTTAAAATGAGACTCGCTTTTCAAAATTGGACCAATTGGGCTACACAGTCAACGAATCTAACCGACAGCTATATTTAACACGCATATTAGGATATCTTTCATTATACACTAATTAATGAATAATTATTTTTTTTATATCATGAATAATTTTCAATATATTATAGAACAGTGAAAATGTATTTGGATTTATTATTGTAAATAACCTAGGTAAGAGTATTGTTTGATTGCAATTTTAAATTATTTTAAATTATTTTAAATTTTCTCTTAATTTTTTTTATGGGAATGAAGAGAAAAAAAAACACATGATTAATATCTATATACAAAGACTCCAAACAAAATTACAAGCATTTTTATCGCCTACTCCCACCTTCGGTTTGTCTCTCTCGAGTTGTTCTTTCTACTTTCGGAAGGAAGAATGTTCTAAGGGTTGCCAGTTGCCACTCAATATGTTGGTTTGTGCTTCTCATAATCTGTTTTTAACAAACACATTTTGAGAAAACAAAACCCAAACCATATAAAACGTTTAGGATTCTGCAATTCTCCTAATTGACACTGCTGTTACTCTGTTAACAAGGAACAACGTTCTCTGGATCAGCTCTTCAAATGATGGGCGTCGCTCTGGATCACTGCTCCCATTTTTAACCAAGTAAATCTGAGTTAGAACCAAGGAGGAAATCTCTATCATATTAAAACTGAAGTGTGTCTGTATAAGCACCTTTGCCAGCAATCATCGATGATGGAGGCAACATGGGGATCAAGGTCCTCTGGAAGGTCTAGTCGTCTGTCCATAAAGCCTACGACTCCAACAACCTTTCAAGTGAAATACAATGGTTATAAAAAAATCCCAGTGTTAAGATTACACTTGTTACTTTAATTAATCAATTGTTAAACATATTTTACTAACAGACTATATTTACTTAACCTTCTAAGTATGTAACTTTAATTAAAACTCTTAGGTAAATTGGTCAATCCAAGTGATGTGTTAGTTAGCAGCACTATTAGTTTATGTTCTCTCTGCAGTAGACTAGTTGTACAGACGAGTTTATGTTGAAACTACATGTGTTTCTAGGAGAGAGAAACCTGTAAGGAATTCAAATTTTTCCAGGGAATAGATTGAGTCATTAGTTCCCAGAGGATGACACCAAAACTGAATACATCAGACCTGTTTTAAAAAGGCAAGAAATCCATTACTTCAGAAGCATCAACTGCATTACCAATTCAATAGGATATAGGCACTATTTGCTAGTACAGAATAACTTCCAAACTAGCGATATTTTTGGAAACTGGAAAAGGTAGGACAGTGATTGACAAAACTCAAACTGCAGCTATATAGAAGTTTCTAATCAAAGATTTTAAACACAGGATATTTAAAGCTGATTTAACAATTCCTCAAGATCTTTAGGGCCAATTAGCAAATAATTACGGAAAATGACAATTTGGAAAAGTTTTTGGAAAAATTCGTTGTTCAGAATATCGTCTCCATTTTTCAAAGTTTCCAGAAAATTCCAGGCTGAACACAATCGGTTGAGTCACAGTTCCAAGTAATTACTTCTCATTGGAAGGTTCATTTCTAAGGACTTCAGGGGCCATCCATTGAGGCTGCATTTCAACAACAAATATGATTGTTAGCAAGATACAGAAATAAAACTTCATTCACTAAAAACAAACTAAAGATTTTACAGTTGCCAGCTGCTCAGATCAGCAGTTTCATATTTAAAAATGAAAAAACCGAGTGACGTCATTACGGTGCCTCTCCCAGATTTCGTATTCAATAAAGTTGTATCCTTCAACCGAGATAGGCCAAAATCTCCAACCTAAGGAAAAGAACAAAACTCATTATATTGAACCATCCTAGGCCCGACAAATGCATTTTGAAGCATTGATCACCTTTACAGTCCAGTTTTTATCTACTAGCAGGTTGGAAGACTTCAGATCTCGATGCACAATTGGTGGATTTCTGTGATGAAGATAATTCATTCCTTTAGCCTGAAATGAACAACAATGTGATTTAGAACAATACAAAATGAAGGTTTAACAAGCCACCAGCTTGCTCTCAACATTGATGTGAAGTGGGAGAGGACACGCACAACATCAAGAGCCACCCTTAGACGTCTTCTGATGTCTAATGTCTGATTGTTCCTATGTATATTTTTGAAAAGGCTTCCCCTAACGTGCAAAATGAAATCAATTTAAGACCATTCCTATAATTTGCATACAAAAAAAAAACATGTAAATGGGGATTTTGTTGTGCACCGTGTGAGATATTCATATTCACTAATACACAGATCTATTACCCAATGTCACAAATATAATAGATACTTCAAGCATGATATTTTATGTGCTTCTACACACAGTGCAACTCCTTTAATAAGCTAAAAGATGATGATGTCGAAAATCTTACCTAGGTAATAACTCTGTAACAATGGCAAGCCTTTCCGGTGAATATACTGCTCCCATGAAAAGTAGTACATTAGGGTGTCTCAATCTCTTCATTATATCAATCTGAAGTATACACAAAGGATTCATGAATCAGTTGCTTTCTATTTAAAGCAAGACACATAGAGAGAGAGACACACACCTCTTTTCTGTAGTCTTGTAAAGTCTCCTCTGTGTATCCGTTCCCAAAATAAACCTTGACTGCAACATCCTGAAAAAGAAAATAAGTTTTAGAGCAGATGGCCAGTCAATACTATTAGTAACATAGAAGAATATGGTAATTTTATACCGATCCATTCCAAATTCCATGATAAACAGTTGCATAAGAACCTACAGGACACAGTGGAACATAACTATGTCAGCAATCATTGGTTGAAATAGGAACATTCAGACACGTTTCAAGTTCTACTAAAAGAAAAAGATGCAGGTAGATCAACCTAATTATTTGAAAAGATATCCATTAGAAATTTCTCGTCCTACCTTGAGATGTTTGAGCAAATATTCTTGGCTACTTCTTTATGACAATTCATCACCCACTAGACACTGAATTTTCCTCCAAAAAGATTGAGTTTATTTGTGGCATAAAGGATTATAGACCACTTAGATTTAAGACGGGAAAATTATATTTATATTATTTTGAGACTGCTCCATATACCTTCGTTTTCTAAACTTATGCTGCTATTTACAAATTAAAACATTTTAGCATTTGAACTCCTTAACATAGAGGAACTATAAAATGCATAATAATGGAATTCATTACCTTGTCCAATCTCCTCTCTTAATTGAAGGTCTTCCCAACGGATTTCACACTCTGAAACAGAGTTGGACTCATAATCCCCTTTGCCCGACAAACTTTCGTGGCTGCCTGTACTCTCCCTCGAACTTGGCAGTTGCGACACTTCTTGCTGCTTTTGTACTTCATCTCCTGTCACCACAGTCGTTGCCTCTGGTTCCAATTTCTTGTGATCAAATAGACAGTGTAATCTTAACAATGGGTATGGGGAATGGGAGAATCCAAAAATTCACACCACTCCCCAGAGAGAGGCTTACCAGAATAATCTTTGGAAACAGTGGAAGCTCTAGATGCACACGCGGTTGTTTCCGCTCTCTTCATTGCAAGTGAAGAATTACATTTCTGAAGATTTAGTTCTTTATCTGCTCCATTAACAACATCCTGGTATCCTTTTAATGGAACTAAACCTCCAGATGAATCATTTTCATAATTCATTCTATTGCTTCCCGAATTATCATCTGCACAATTATTTTTCATATTTCCATTATCCTTCCCATATTTTGCACGTACCCCAGTTTGAAGCTTGGCTGCCTGAAGTGATCGAACCATAGAGAGGATCATGTATCTAAAATGGATAAAAAGTTACACAGAAGTTTCACGTCACACAATTTTTAAACAAATATTATATACTACAGTTCAAACCAATGCAACATTTTCAATGTCAAGTGGACCTCCGGCATATACTTGGATTCTGCTGGATTACTTTGCTGTCCACGCTTCATAAGTACACCACAAAGGTTCACAAACGCAATTTTTTAAACAAATATTATGTACTATATAGATCAAACCAATGCAGAGTTTACAGATTCATATGGGCCTGCGGTATATGCTCAGTTTCTGCTAGCATATACTTAAATGGCTTTAATTTGGGATCTAAGCTTCATAGTGCCTACAAAGGTTCAGCCTCCAATTTTATGATTTTAGATGAAGTATTACTTTATCAATTAGGCAATTAGAGTAACTAATAAAAGGGAAAGTAAGATTTATTTACAATTTTAGAAGGTTGGCCAAATTCTGCAGTAGACTCATTCTCCTCAGAGGCCTCCGTGACAATTGTGTTTTCTTTACGGAAATGTCTGGAATTAGGTTTTGTTTCCTGAAATTCGAATTTAGGATACGAAAACTTAAAACGTTATCAAAATTAAATACTTACTCAGATACTACATCCCCGAGATGAACAAAAACATACATATATGCCACGCTTCTCTAGCTTTTCATCACCTGCGACAGCATCTGTCGAAGTCTTCTTGGAAACTGTGTCATCAGTACTATGCAGCAGTGGGAGAAGCTTTGATGCCTGGTAGATATAAACAATAGGATTCTATAATTT